AGCTTAAAAGGGGATCCAGTAACTTCCCTGAGCTTAGAAATTCTTGCCAGATCTTATTGTTTTACCCAAATCTGCCCTTTATTTTCTTGTAATAAAGTATACTTTTCAAAATGATATTACATTGGTTCATTGCAATATTTTGAAAATCGGAAGAAAGTACTTAATGCATACATCGACTCTTCCTCTGAGCCACATCTTGGAGAAAAGAGCGAATGCGTCCTTGAAGGTGATGTCTGATTGCACATGATTGCATCCGAGCCTTTTGACCCTTCCAGATACTGGACGCCAGCTTTTCCAGGTATTGGATAGCTCTGAATCTCTAGAGTTATGCTTTCTATTAGCCAAGATCTCTCACCAGTACACTCTGTCCACTGATCTGGGTTCTGTGCCCCAGAGAGCAACACACTAAGTCTAATCTCTCATAAAACATAGTAGCTCTGAAGAGTCTCCTTTTCCAGGTTAAGATGTTGCAACTCTCCCTCACTTCACATATTTTTTTTGTCAGACTCCTTATTATGGCGCCATTTTCTCTGGATACTTTCCAGACTGTTAATGACTCTGAAAATTTGGATCCCTGAACTAACCGCACACTCTGAATGGGTAACCCTCGTGGAAACGGGGTGGGGGGGGGCAGCATTGTCTCCTGGATATTGGACGTGATACATGATATTTCTACTCAAGAAGCCTGCATCAGTCTGTCTGCTTGATAGCCTGATTTTTAAAGCAGCTGCATCAAACTGTTGCTACCAATTGAGCTTTAAAACAACTTAAATATTTCATTTTATAGCCCTTTCAGGAAATGCACGCAGCCTCCATGTTTAAAATGAACAGACACTTGCATGTCTGTAATGTTAATTTTCACCACTAGCTGGTGCTAGTGGCTACACCATCAACTCAGCGTGTATATTTTAGAGGTTTCTAAAGGTGAAAGCACCTAGTTTGGGTTGCAAAGAATAGAGTCTGCTAGTTTTCTTCTTACCTTTTTCTCTCAGGTGTTGTGGCTTCCCAGTCCTGGTCAGAATCTTTGATGTACCATTTTATCACAGGTTTAAAGTCCCTTTGGAAGCCAAATCGTGCTTTGCATTTTAGAGTTAAAGGCTTTCCTGAAAGTGAAGAGACCAGAGAAAACAGGAAGGAAATGCGTAAGAAAGCTTCGTCCTCTGTGGGGGAGGAAGACCTGACCAGAAGACAGTTGCCTGATA